TTAATTTACCTACGTTTTTTATAAACAAAGAGAATTAAAAAAAATTCACGCATACATTTTGTAATCGAACACAGCTGCAACTAACGAAAACATAAAATAAAATTCTCTACGGAGTTCACGGTATCAAAAATATGTTTACAAGAGAAATAAATAACCGCATAGCGAAACTTTTGAATCTTGTGCCATCGACAGGTCAATTTATGTTTCCGCTATAAATGTAATTTCGAACAAATTTGCTTACAACATTTATGTACAAACTTTCGCGTTATTTGTTCTTTCCTCTTTGGGATGTAAATTCAATTTCTAAATTCAATGCGTTTCTCGGGTTAACATCAAATTGCATGCTAAAATATTGATACCCTTATGAATTCATATACTGTAGTCGAGTAGACGCGTAGGATAAACTTGCAAATACTTTTTATTTTTGTTCAGTTTTTAGTTTTTTGTTTTTTTTTTTCATTTCATGGTTATATAGACGATACGATTATTGAGTGGTTTCCTCGTTACAAAAATAATAATAAGAAAAAATAGTTTCCTTCGTTACATTATATTCATCCATGCGCGTGTATTATACACAAATGCATATACCTACGTATAATGTATATAGTATACTTGCAACTCGCGTTGATTAAAATTGGACGAATAAACTTTTATATTCAGTTATCGCGTGTCACGAATAGTTTGAAAATTGTATTGCATATCTGTAGGCGTTACAATATATACTTAAACATTTTCTTAGGTACCAAAACTCTAGTATTTAAGTGATATTTTCAGTCTCGGCGAATGAGATATAATATAAAACATAATATCTCTGCGGAAACAATAACAAATTGTATTTCTATTACACATCGAACTGAAAAAAAGGCTAAAGCTTAAGTTAATTAATTCTCATATATTTTTATGGCAATACAATTAACATATTATTATAAATGTATATATGCATAATGCAGAGTATTAGCTAAAACATTAATGTTATAAATAATGGTTTTTAAAAAAAATGTTCTCGGAGGAGGGGAGGAAAACGCCCCTATTTTGCACACCCATCCTTCCATCAGATATATACGCAATTTTATAATGTTCAGTGTATAATCATATATATAAACGTTACAAGATCGGACGATAAAAAGGCGTAGATTATGCCTATTATTGTTTACAATAATTATATACAAATGCTGCAATAGCGACGATATTAATTTTGAAGGAAAATGTTTATTCGTATATAATAATATAATATAGCTTAATTAAATAAAATATACTCTCCACGGTTAGGTATTTTCTTTTTTTTTTTAATATTTCATTGAGTTACACCAGCTAGTATTTGACTTGAGGTATTATAGTGTGGTGCAAAATGATATTACCTATAGGCTATAATAGTCGACGGTCTTGTAGGTGTATAAGTATAAGGTTAGGTCTTACACGTCATATACATATAATATAACACGACCGCTGTATGTGATAGGTTTCACAGTGTCTTGACGATTTATAATGATAGTAATAATGCACATCTACAGGGTTTTACAACTTCACAGTATTAAGTACCTATAGGTATACACATAATATATATAATACCTATATAATAGAACATTATTTTGTAACAATACACCTCTGAATCGACAACATATATACATTTATATTACATACTCTCTATTCTCTTCATACATAGACATATACATACATATTATATATATAATATAGAAGCTTTTAGCTCATAAAAAAAGTTTAGCTATATACGTTTACATAATATGCGTAGTATGAATATACATGTGTAATATATATATCTATCACACCGCCGTTACACTCTCTCGCAGTCGCCATTTGATACAATATAGTGTACTGTTTGAAATTTTTTTTCTTTTTCTTTTTTTTTTTTTAGTGGGATCGAACTAGTTTACAAGTTTAGTTTGATTGTTAGAACGAATATAAAGTATTTTTGGGGAGCGCGCGGCACGGCACGAGGGGAATGTCGAAGCTCTATAAAAGTGCACTTAACCCTCATAAATCCCGTCATAACCCGAGACTTCTGTCAAGACGTCTCGTAGGAAATTTCGGAATCTCTGATAAATGTTCGGTTTATATGAACGGAAACCTTTTGTACTGATTGCCAAATCACTATTATACACGGATAGCAATTCTTCACCCGGCGTAGTTTAGCGCAGCTCGAGATTATTATTTATTTGAATTATACATCAACATTTTGAATAGACTTACCTATACATAATACTCGCGTCACGGACAAACAAAATGTGTAATATATATCATATTAAATTATTCTTTTGATCGAAAATGAAATACACAGTCAAATATAATATTATGTATACTGTATAGTCATATAAATCTACAATTAGGCATATAAATCAGAAATATAGCATAAATCTATCATTTTCGAAGTGAAAATACAAACTATTTTAAGTATCTCCATAGTTCGCCGAAAATACTTATATTATTGATATATTATTACAACTAATCTAGTACATATATACTCACAGTAACGCGGTATACGGATTACTACGTTTCGGTTTAATTCGTAAAGATCGACTTGTGTGCACAATTAATGTATAGTATACCTATTTACATACATTATGCATATATATATTATCCTTATAATATATATTACTAGATTAATGAATATTAGTTCGAACTTGGAACTAATAAATTAAGACCTGCAGAGACGTCCAAAAAGTTGAAATTAATGATTTCCCGACAAAAGTTTATGTGTGGGTATAGTTTATCAAAATTATAAGATCTGACTGGGACAGGCGATGTGTAAAAATATCACGAGGGATATGTCCCTCCCATATTCGTCGGTTTACGCTGCAAAGGTTACTGATAATTTAATTTAAAACAATATTTTTAAAACGGTAATTGTACAATTTGTAGGTTTACATAATAATACATAAATAATACAATAAGCGAATTTTATAAAATGCAAACATTTGATTTAAGACAAGAAAACGGCACAAGATCAATCGGCGGCAACCCCAGTACTGAAGACTAAAAAACAATGAAAGTGAGTGTATGAAATCCTTGTGTAACGAATAGAATTAAAAAAGATCTCAGATTTCAAGCGTTCGACGATAACAATTTAAAATGTTTTTCGACGCTGAATTTTTTCTCGATGATAGGTGTTACACTCTTAGAAATATTAATTGTCACGTTTAGAATATTAAAATAATAAATGCGTAAATCGTTTCCATATCAATATCATTTATTTTATACCTATACGAGCATTTGTTTTATAGTTTTATCGGATTTTGAATGTTGTACCAAAGTTTCTCCGAATCTGTTTGATTATTTATTCTGAAATATTTATATAAATAACTAACTGGAAATAAATTAAAAACATCACAATAATACATAATATTGTAGTGATTATTTTTACGAAACTCAAAATTTCTTTGGGTTGTTCAACATTTTTGTTGTATCAAATTTATCATTTGTAAATAATTGTTTAAAGATAGTAAAATAATTTCTCGTAGGTCATAATATTAATTATTATTGCAAATAATAGTTTTCATATTATAGTCGGCATATACAAATCACGAGTAAAATAATAAAACAACTCGAAATAAATACGTATTACCATTGATTATATATGGTGTTACGTTAGTATTAAAATAAACTCTAAAAAACACCTACAATATTATATGAGCAACTAAATTACATATTATCGAAGTAATAATAATTGCTTCACAGCATCACTTTAAAAATTCACGGTTAAAGATCAATTACTTTTCGTCAAAGTTTCATCCGCTGCGGTTAGATTATCAATTATCGTAAATGTCTTTAATAATGTATAATATTTTTCCGATAATCGAATTATTCGCCCGCCAAGTTAGTTCATCCGCCGACACAATTATAATGAATACCTATATAGGCTATATACACACAACCATTAATTCTATATCGATCAGCGTTCGTTTTACGCTATAAATATGTGATATAAGTATTAATAATTACGAACGGTTTATCGTTACTTAATATCTGTAATATTTAAGTTGTGCACGAAAATTACAATATAAAGTTTGGAATAATTATTACACTAATCATTTTTTCACCATCACGCACGGACTATAATCTTTTCGGGTTTTTGCGTAATACTCACTGTTTTGCCTCATTTGTCTTAGTTTTTAAAAAGTTTTTTTCGCTGATTATTACAGCCATCAGAGGTGGTAATGGAATATTACAGTATTGAGCACATTATTATGTGAAAAAATGTGCTTGCCCCTCTCGTTATCAGGTGGATTCAAGGCGGTTCTTATAGGCCGGAAAAAATTGCTAAACTCCTTAATTTAACATTCAAATGATTATTCACCCAATACGCCAAATTGTATCGAAATCATTTATTATTTCGAACATTTTCATAATATGTAATTAGGTATAAACTTAATTTAATTTGAAGCAATAGCATAATAATATGACACGTCTGACATTCGCAGGAAAAAGAAGCGTTTTTTGTTATCACAATTGTTAAATTCAAAATTTCTACTCGTATCTTTTGGAGAGTGTTCTAGTAAATATAAAAAAGTTGCACTTTTAGGGAGGGGTGGTGATGGTAGTCCAAGTACCGACAAACTCGGCGGACAGATAGGGTTGCATATTGTGCTATATTATTATAATATTATAATATAATATCGACTCGTGTGCCGTTTTGGTTGCATACTCATTAAGGCGGCGTTGGTGGCGGGACGGGCGGCGGCGACTGCGGCGGGTCGGGCGCACGCGCTTGCTCGCCCGTGCGCGTTTCCTGTGCGAACGCATCCGCCGCCGTCGCGCGCGCGCGCACCACACGACGACACGCACACTGACGCAGAAAAGCACGTACACGATGACAAAAATACGCTGTCGCACACGTACACACGCGCACACACACGCGCTCCCCACGCCGACGGGCGGCGGCGGCGGTGGGTCCCCTCCGCTGCCGCCGCTGTTCCTCATCACCCCGCGGTCATAGCGCGCGGCAACCAGCGGCGGCGGCGGCGACGGCGACGGTCCCAGTCACTCGCCGCACCGTTCAGTCGAACATATCCGTTTAGCGCGAACGCTCGGGAGTATACCGTGTGCGCCAAAAAAGCACACCTCCCACCAGTAGTGGTTAGTCGTAGTTTGCAGGAACAAAATATATATATATATTATATTATATACGTGTATATATATATACATATATATTATTATTATTATTATATATATTATATACAGCAACAACAACAACAACAACCACCCAAAATCACGTAATAATATATATATATATATATATGTATATATATATTTTCATATATCACCTTTAATAATCGCCGTGTTAACAAAAAAGAATTGACGTTTCTTGTAAAAATTCGAGTGCACATCATTACGACGACGCCGGTCGTGTCAATCGCCGACGACACCACCGCTGCCGCTACCGCCGCCGTCACCGCTGCCGGGTTAACCACCACCGCAACGGACACCACGTGAACAACAAATTCGTATTCAATTTCGTGTTATATAATATATATATATAATTGTGTGTGCGCGTGTCTATTTTATTTCTCTGTCCTCCGTTTCCGTTTCTCGGCGTGTGTGTCTCTCTCTGTATTCATTATTATACGCGGGTGTTATACCCTCCGTGCCGGTCGAGTCGTTCAAATTTACAACGAAATAAATTGTTTTTACATATTTTTTTGTTTTTTTTTTTAAATCCATCCGTTCGCTATCCGCCGGTCGTATTCGCGCCATTCGCTTTCGCTGCCGCCGCCGCCCGATCGATTAAAATCGAAACGCACGTGAACTGTGCAGCAGCAGCAGTGTGCGTTTACCTACTGCAAATCGTCCGCTCTCGTCCGCAGCATAGAAAATAATATCAACCGGCTAGTTCGCGTATATCATACACTCACCCACGACACACTTATCGCGCTTCACCCTTTCGTTCGGTCGTCGCCAAAAAGTTATCACACGTATACACAAACACACACACACGCCAGCGCGCACGCGTGAGTTCTTATTGTTATCGCATTATATCGTCACGATGGAATCGCAGAGCGCACAGGACGCAGTGACCGTGGCCGCGGAGGTGCCCAACGACCCTGGGTAAGTCAAGTGTTGTCATGATAATTTAACAATTTTATAATAATAGATGTGTGGATGTAAACAATAATATCGAAAGTATACCGTAAGTATAATATCATAAGTAGTGTAGTGGTCGTCGGCCGGCGGCATCGGCGTCACGCGACACACGCGACGTATATATATATATATATGTATGTATGTATACAATATATAATATATATATATATTATTTGTGCATATACATCATACACGCGCGTAGGTGCAGCACCTGCGCGCGCGCACCCCTAATCCTTCTCCGCACTTTCTCCTCGGACCTCCCCGACGAATCACTCATCCGTTCACACCCCCGCGCGAGGGTAGCCGGCGGGGTAACCGCCGCCGCGGTCGACGACGGGTTTTTCCGATTTCTTTGGAAATCCGTTTAAATACGTATACGCCGCGGCGTGCGCCACCGATCCTCAACGCCGCCGACCCGCCACCTATACATACGACGACCCTCCTCGCCACCCCGGCGCACAGCCCCCGGGCCTACACCCGGCGCTACTTGGCCTGCCGCCGCTCCGCCACCGTTTACCCCGTTCTCCGAGCGCGGAGTGCAGGTGGAGGCGGCGGCGACTCGCGTCTGTCGGGCGCGAGGGTATTGCACCGCCGCCGACGCCGCCGAGACAGTGTGTATACATATATATATTGTTGTCGTTATTCGACGATGTGAACTATATATACAAATGTGTTTTCATTATTTTTTTTCTGGGTGTCTTTGTTCTCCCTTTAGCGTTGCCTGAACACACGACGCCGACGAAAAATAAATAATAATAATAACAATAAACAGAAAAATAAAAAGGAGCCCCGTCTACTTTTGCGCTGGGGGTGTGTATCGATTTGCGGTCCGGTCGAAAGTGCATGAGTCGTCTCGCGCATAATTTAGAAATATCAAATAAAACCGAACGAAAACTATACGATGACCGTGACATGCACACATCGCACACATGTCCGCACGCACGCTGTTTGTAGTAATGAGCCTAATGACGAAATTTATGTATAATATAATAATGTGTACATATGGGTGCCTAAATAATGTATTATTTGAGTGGCAGAATGTGTCTTTGCTGTGATGCTGATAATATTATTATATTGTTTTGAGAAATAGTGCGAAGAAATTATTAATAATACGTGATCCTTAATATGCGATTGCACCGAACAAAATATTGACATGTTTTTATTTTTTTTGCTCATTTCTTTCACATTAATTCCTGCATGTTTTATTATGCGCCGATGACGTTTCGTCGGTTGTTTTCCTTTATACAGCGGGCGGAAGGAGGAAAACCCCATGACAATACTTCGATATGATAAAATTGTCGAGTATATTACGGCAAAAATAATAAAACACATTGTGTGTTAGGTAGGTGTAACCTACGCTTAAGAGATCGAACAAAATAATCGGACGATAAACAAGTATAATGACTGTTATTGCAATTCGCAGTTCTCATATCATATTATTATTGATTATTATAGTGCGCTCTTGTCAACGGCGTTATAGTTTCGTATAAGACATTTTAATGAACGTTTCTTCGCCGATCTAAACCTTCGTTATACCTATTAAATACTAAACGTCTATATAACGGCCAAGTCGGCAAAAGTCCATCGAAGCACAATTCACATTGAGTCCAAACACCGTGACGTTTTTAATCAAGGTAGTTGTTTGTGTTTGCCGCTGCCGTTTACGTAACCGGAAAAACTACAACATAAAATGTGTAATATTATATCGTTATACCATGCGTACTTATATATTGTTAAGTGCGCGAATGTCAAGTCGGGTACGATATATTTTTCTTGGTACCTATAAAAACCGTCGAGTTTCGATATTGACTTCTGGGCGCATACAGTGCATTATAATATGTAGATCATATTGATTTTTGCATTGGCCTTTGCAAATAAAAGCAATACCCGTCTTTCTATAGCCGGTGCAAGGAATAAACGCGCGGGGGTGTTTTATGTTCACACGAGCATTACACGCCGAAAAATTTGAGTGGTTAGTTTTTATTTTTTTCGTTAACGATTTAAAAATACAGTGAGTTGTACTGCTGCCAACGGTAACGAACCGTTTGTTCGGAATTTCAGAAAAAAAATTTGTCTTAAAAACGAACAGATTTTTGTCTACCCCGCGAGTGTCGGCGTCGAGTCATTAGGATTGTAGTATATTATATATATATACATGTTTTGTATATTCGTAATTTTAGTATGTGCTTAAGTTCATTATTGTATGTATGACAACGAACAGATAATACACGCAGTAGTATAACTTGCTACCCTTAAAATAAAATAAAATTGAAATCTGTATCTTCCTTGTAACTTTTGTGTCTCTGATTTAATGGCGATAGGTTAAATATGTATACAGCCCAAGTGAAGCTGACATTATTCCGACAACAGGCCTGTCGGGCTACTTTTAAAATAATTATTTGAGAGCAAATGTCCACCTTGTCCTCCCAAATGTTGCCACTGAATGCCACTGAATGCCACTGCACTGGCACTCGAAACCGGGCCCGCAACAACGTGACTACAGGAAACGTACTAATTGGACAGACGAGATGACGTTCCTTCCGGTTTCTGACAATACCCACACAGTATATGACACAAACGTGTATAATACTATCAGTTACATATTTATAATAAAATGCAAAACTATATGGCGTGGAGGATGGTCCTGTGTCAGCACCGTATAATACACTTGCGGTATAAGTATTGGAAAATTCAATTGACGATATTAAAACATATATTATAATATTATATTCAGGACTGTCCGCTCGTGTTCGGTACACCGTGAAATCGGTTGCAAACGACAGCCTTGCACTGGACTCGTTGCGTGTGGCGTAGCACAGAGAGGGTCGTAAATACGTATTACAACTTGTTTTTTCGAACAAGGGTTCATTGTTAGGCATTTCGTTTTATCGATATCCGTGTGTCTCCAACGACCGTATGCTAACACACAATCCCGTAGTGCCTTATTGTAGGCACCTATATGTCTAAATACAACTATGACGACGTTAATTTAGTGTAACCATATGTTGTTACCTCAAAGTTAAAATGTTATGATACACAGAACGTGCGAAGGGACCATATACGACGATGGTTTGTTATCCTTTCGTCAAAAAACTGTACCGATGAACTATAACGGCATGCCAGGATACTGGTGTATGTGTGTAAGCGCCCGCTTGAAATAGAGTCAAAAAATAATAATAATAATAGTAGCCAAACCGTTTAGATGCGAAATCAAATAGCGTCCAACCGACAGCGGATTTTCAAAAAAATCGCAGATAAAGTGTAAAAGCTGTTGAATTGAAAAAAAAGGAGCAGCTATAATAGATCATCGTCGTGAGTTACTTGATTAAGCTAACTCGAAATGTATATAATGCACGTCAAACGATTGGAGTACAAAAATAAAATAAATACATTTTCTCCGAAGTTCCCGTCGGATTTATTAGCGGATTTAAAATAACGAGATTCGATAAAAGTAAAAAGTTGAAACTTTTCGAATTTATAAAAATACTTGGGTAGATATCGAAACTTTTTCGTTGCAATATGATAAATTACGCATATCAATAATATTATATACTCGATTACAGCACGTGGTTTTACCTACCTTCATAATATTATATTACTATTCAATATATTATATTGTGAAACAAGAACAGAGCTGATATACGAATATTTACCGCACACATGGTTATTTGGTACGTTTTTAAAAATATTTTTATTAATTAAATGACTTCGCTAGCTTTTAATTGACTGAAAAATACATTGTTATCGTTAGGATGTATTAGGCTATTAAGATAAATATTCATCATTATATTAACTTTTAACCCGTGGAATATTATACGCCGTTTTATATAGGTACCTATAGTTATTTTTCTATTAAATAAATCCAAATTATTTCATGACTATTGGGATTTTTAATTTATTTCATTTTTCAATAAGATAAAAAACTTAATATTTAATTAAAGTTAAAAAAAATTTATACAAAAGTACACTTAATGCACACTCGTTTTTTTTTAGTATTATTTTGATACACTTATAATTGACCATAGTGTTTTTAAAATGATTACGCCTAATAGTTTGTACATCATATTTTTGGTTGAACATGTGATATTGTCAGTTTATCCGACTACCCATGTGCAAACTAATATATATCCAGTTAAATTTATATTACTTTTTACAGTATTTTTTTTAGATATTGTTGTAAGTTATATATAATTGTTAAATGTTTTTATTACTTATTTAAAAGTTTTTGTGTAATTTTTTTTAACTAGTTAATTTCAATAATTAATATTGCATAATTAAGTTGATTATTTTATGCTTATCAATTTAATTAAAAAGTTATAATTACATTTCTTCGGAGCTTTATAAAGTTAATTCATTAATTAAATATTTATATTCACGAATTTGTTATTAATGATTACGAATTATTTAACACATTATTTGAATAAAAACAATAAAAAATAAATATTTAAAGTTAAATTACATTCAACAATGAAATGTTAAAATTGAATTTAATATTCTAATTTAGAATAACACATATAATACATCATCTACGTCGTTAAAGCGATTACGGCCCAGATTGGTTGAATATGTGAAAATGGAGCAGCAGTCGGCTGGTACATTTCTGAATAATGTTCTCATATTAATTAAACGAATATTTAATCTTCGAATCAAACGATGTAGCAACGAGTTCTCTAGTACTGTGTATGATAACAACTTAAGAAATTACGAGGAGAGCAAAAAACACGCACAAGCCTTTCCGTTTGAAAATCCGTTATCGTACGTCATAATAATAATATTATAATACTGTTATTAATATATAGGTATTAGTTTAACCTGTACTTACACGTCAATACGTCAATACGAGCTCGTCTCGAACTCATGGAATTTGATCGTCAATCGAATTATTGGATTTGGCCCCGTCGAGTATACCGAACGATGTAATTCCTAACATAATAATAATATACAATAGCTTACACTGAGTTACA